AAATTTATCACAGGATTTTTTTTTTTAGATTTCTTTGTTGGCTGTGGTGGGTCTTTGTGGCTGCACATGGGCTTTCTCTAGTTGTGGTGAGCAGGGCCTCGTCTTTGTTTGGTACACAGGCTTCTCACTGCAGGGGCTTCTCGTTGCAGAGCACAGGCTCTCGGGGTGTGGGCTCAGAAGTCGCAGCTCACAGGCTCTAGAGTATCGGCTCGGTAGTTGTGGTGCATGGGCTTAGTTGCTCTGCGTCTTGTGGGATCTTCCTGGACCAGGGACCAAACCAATGTCTCTTGCATTGAACTGGTGTCCCTTGCATTGCAAGGTGGATCCTTAACCACTGGACCACCAGGAAAACCCCACAGGCTCAGTTTTTAATTTATATCCTATCTTTGTCCTCTTCTATTATTAAAAAATGAAATGTTTTTATTTAAAAGAGGTGCCCAAATAAACTTTTTAAAAACTGAGATGTGATTGATACATAACTTTGCGTTAGTTTTGGGTGTGCAATATGACTTGGATATGTATGTGTTGCGAGATGATCACCGCAATATGTTTAGTTAACATGCACCATCATATCATATCACATAGTTACAAAAATTTTCTTCTAAAATATATCTACTCTTCCAGCAACTTTAAATATACAATACAGTATTATTAACTATAGTTAACATGCTGTACATTACATCCCAGGACTTATCATATAATTGAGAGTTTGTACCTTTTGACCACCATCACCATGTCTCTTGTATTAGTTTTAGTTATGCAGAACTTTTTTTATTCATTCAAAGTCCAAGCTGTATTAATAAGGTCCACTTATAGAAGGTTGATTATCATTTCTGTACTTCCCAGCCTGTTGCTTTCTTCTTCCTATATGAACTACCACTTGATTAGATTTTTCATTTCCACTGTTTCTTTAAAATATAGGCAAATGTGTATATATATTCCTGTTTCCTCTCAGCCTCAGCAGAGAAGGCGGCCATAGTATACTTTCTGTATTTTGGTATTTTAATTTATTGATATGCTTTAGATATTACCTCATATACTATGTAGAAATCCTCATTTCTTTTTACAGCTACCTGTTACTCTATTTTGTGAATTTACTATAAACTGGGGCCCCGTTTATATGGATACTTGTTTTGTTTATAGTCTTTTACTATTATAAAAATAATATTGCCAATAACCTTGTGCATATTTTTTTTTTTTTTTTGCCAAGTGATCTTTGGGATATTTTTTCTAGAAATGATGCCACTGATTCAGAGTAGATGTATAGGACATTTTGCTAATATTGTTCCAGTTTCCCTCCATAGTAGTTGTATCATTTTTTCTACCAGTGATACATGAGAGTGCCTATCTCCCCATAGCATCACAAAAAAAATTTCAGACTTTGAAATTTTTGCCAATCTGATAGCTCACTTTTCTTTAAATATATACCAGTTTCTTTATCAGTTTTTTTTTTTTTGGTACCTGAGACTTTTCTTTTGGAATTACTTTCCTCCTCCTTGTTGAAACAAGTCCTTGAGAATCCCTTGCATGTACTTTGGCTTAGGATTCTCTGTGCTTCCTGAATCTTTGGTTTCATGCATTCTAATTCGAGAAAATTGTTTACTGTTATTTCTTTAAATAGTGCCTTTTCCACATTCTGTTGTCTTCCTAGTTTTTCTTCCTTACCTTTTAACTAGCACTTTTTATGTATTCCTCCTCTCTGCTATGTTCTGAGTAGTTTATCCCATGGTAATTTATTCAGTTCTCTCTTCTAGGTATGTTATTCTCTCTTTTGTTGTGTCTAACTGGCTGTTTAACTTGAGCAATACATGTTTGTCTCATTGATAATATTTGTAATTTCTGAAAGTTCTATTGTTCCTCCTACTCACATCTTCCTGGTCTTTTTAGGGTATCTTACGTGTTCATATTTTCTTTTTTTAGAAATTCTTTAAACATTTGAATCATAGATATTTTGTATTCTTAATCTGATAACATCTGAATATATTGGGTGATGTCTAATACTGGTTTTGAATAGCTTCTGCTGATTTTGCTCATAGTGGCTTGTTTCATCATGTGCTTTGTGATTTTGAATTGTGTGCATTTCTTCAGATTGTATGTGGGAATATTGTAAAACCTGAGGTGAGGCTGCATTTTGCAGAGTATAAATGTTGCTTCTGCCAGGTGTCTTTTGACCTTACCAGCCTCCAACCACTTTAAGTTAAATTCTTGGCTTTAGTTTCCCAGACCATGGAGATAGCGTATATTTGGAAATCGAAACCTCCCAGAAGGCATGCCCGGGGAATTCTTAAGAGATTGTTTCCTTACCTACAGTGCAGAATGAGAAAAATAAGTTCTTTTGTTGTTTCTCTTTGCCAGCTGACAAGAGTTTTTTCTAGCTCTTTTTTTTATTCAAGATGTAGTCTTTCGTTTTGTGCTAATAAAAGCGGTGCTTAATTCCAAAAAAAAAAAGATGTAGTCTTTCAAAGGTCTGTTCTGTCATTTTGCATGGGCCTGAGGCTTTATCTCCTATCCCTTTCTTTTTTAAAAAAAATTTATTTACTTATTTGACTGTGCTGGGTCTTCATTTCTGTGCAGGCTTTTCTTTAGCTAGGGCAAGCAGGGCTACTCTCCAGTTGCAGTGCATGGGCTTCTCATTGAGGCGGTTTCTCCTGTTGCGGAGCACAGGCTCTAGAGCGTTGGGGCTTCAGTAGTTGCAGCACATGGGCTCAGTAGTTGTGGCTCGCAGACTCTAGAGCACAGACTCAGTTATGGCGTACGGGCTTAGTTGTCCCTTGGCATGTGGGATCTTCCCAGACCAGGGATCGAACCCATATCTCCCACATTGGCAGGCAGAGTCTTTACCACTGAGCCATTAGGAAAGCCCTCTTTTATCCCTTTATCCCTTTCTTGATGGTTAAAAATCATGCTTCTAGTTTTCTCATCTGACGACTGCCTCCAGAGGAGATGCAGCTTCATCTTCTACTTACCTCTCTAGGTTTCAAGTTCCTTTTTGGTTTTGACCTCAAAAAATTTGCTTAATTCCTGTGAATCTGGTCATCATACAGATGGATAAATGGATAACTGTTACATTTTATCCAGAATTTCTAGGTAGAGTTAATCCTTCAAAAATTCTGGTGTTACAGCTGCTGAGCTCCTGAGCAGTTGATAATCAGCATGTAAATTTTCACTCTCCCTAAACTTAACTACTAATAGCCTACTGTTGACCAGGAGCCTTACTGATATTTTAAACAGTTGCTTATTAACACAATTCATATGTTGTATGTATTGTATGTTACATTTTTGCAGTACAGTAAGCTAGAGAAAAGAAAATGTTATTTAGAGAAGCATAAAGAAGAGAAAATACATTTATAATACATACATGCATCTGTTGAAAAAAATGCACATGTAAGTGAACCCATGCAATGCAAACTTTGTTGTTCACGGATCACCTGTGTTTTATATCAGAAGCAGTTCCCTTCCCCACTCCACCCCCAGAATATGTGGTCCAGATGTAATTTTCTCACTATTGCTTACTTAACATGCTATAAACAAAGAACAGCATAAAATACTCAGGCTCTTAAAGTCTCTACTTAACTCATCTGATTTACTGTTTATAAAATGGAATGTTATATGGTTGCTATCATTCAGAGAATATTTTTTACATTTATTTCTTTCTGTAGTTCTTCATCTTTTCCTTATTCTTATAAAAGTAATGGTGATTGTACAACATTTGAAACATAATTAGTCAATAGTAAAAAGACAACCAAGTTTTTAAATGGACAAAGGATTTGAACAGGCATTTTTCCAAAGATGATATATAGATGGACAATAGGCATGTAGAAACATGTTTAACATCATCATTAGAGAAATAAAATTTAAAAACCATAATGAAATGCTACTTCATACCCTCAGGGGCTATAATAAAAAAGATGAGCAGTAGCAAGTATTGGTGAGAAAGAGAAATTGGAACCCTCATACATTGCTCTATGTATGAGCATACATACAAGATTGTAAAATTGTAAAATGGTGCAGCTACTTTTGAAAACAGTTTGGCAGTTTTTGAACATGGTAAGCATAGTGTTGCCATAAGACCCAGCAATTTCACTGCTATGTATATACTCAAGAGTAATGAAAAAATATTTCCACACAAAAACTTGTACACGAATGTTTATAGTAACATTATTCATAAAAGTCAGAAAAGTGGAAACAACTCAAATGTCTTATCAACTGATAAGCAAAATGTAGTCGGTCCTACAGTGGGCTGGTATTTGGCAATAAAAAGAACCTGAAAACATTATGCTGAGTAAAGCAGTCCAGTCACGAAAGACTACCTGTTGTCCAATTCCATTTATGTATGATAGCCAGAATAGACAAGTAGATACAGAAAGTAGATTAGTGGTATCTAGGGATAGGGCAGGAAAGGGGAGATAAAATGGGTAGGGACTGCTTATGGTTACAGGGTTTCTTTTTGGGGTAATGAAAATGTTCTAAAATCATATTATGGTAATGGTTGTACAGCTCTGCAGATATAGTGAAAAACTATTGAATTCTTTAACTGGGTGAACTTTATTATGATATGTAAATTACATAATAATAATAATAATGTTTTTGAAAAGGGGAATGGTAGGGGAAGGAGTCAATAGACAGGTTTGTCTCTCTTCCATGAATCCCTTGATCCTAAGTTGTTGGTTAAGAGTTAGATATATCTCACATGGTGATTCCCACTGTGTTGGAAATTGGTGCTTAATGGGTGCATCTTTTTTGGTATGATGACTGATAATTGAAATCTTGGATTCTCTAGGTCCCACGTCACCTATTAGCTGTGTGATCCTTGCCATGTTTCATTACCTTGTACTTTGTTCCTTTGTTTATATATCTAGGGTAATTCCTGCTTTTCCTACCTCAGAAGGTTGTTGTGAGGTTCAGATGAGAGTGACATAGTACTTTGAAAGCAATATAGTCCTAAATAAACATATAATAGTATTAAGATTCCTAAAGTTCTCTGTATTTTCTTTCCATAGGAGTAAAAGACAAATCTTTTCTAACAGTTGAGGACTGTTTTGAGTTGGGCAAAGTGGCCTACACAGAAGCAGATTATTACCATACAGAACTGTGGATGGAACAAGCACTGAGGCAGCTGGATGAAGGCGAAGTTTCTACCATTGATAAAGTCTCTGTTCTAGATTATTTGAGCTATGCAGTATACCAGCAGGGAGACCTGGATAAGGCGCTTTTGCTCACAAAGAAACTTCTTGAACTAGGTATGTTAGTTTGGCCTAATTCAAGGTTAAGGATATACTGGGGGATATATAGATATATTAATTATAATTGTGTGTGAGTATGTATATTTGTCATATAGTTTTGGTACTTTTTGTCACAAGTCAAGAGCTCATCTGTCAGACATACTTTATCATTCTGTTTATCCTCTAAATAAATGGCAACTGATTTTTCTCACGTAATAGTACTATAAGAGTAGCTGTGTTTCTCTGCTGTGTACTTTCTTAGGAACTTCAAAATTGAATTGAACATAGCTAACTCAGTCAAAAATGTTTATTTGCCATGTTGCCATATTAAATATTAACCAGTATCCTTTGAAGGAAATTTTTGGTTTACTGAATTTCCTATTTGGAAATTTGAAAGTGATTTGAAATATCAACCTAAATAAAAAGGTCAAATGAAGCAAAAATAATTGTCAAAAAATGAGTTTATTCAGGAATAGCAGAGGAACTGCATTTGGGTCATGCAAGCTGTAGGAAGCTACAGGTAAGTCCGTTAAGGATTTGGAATAGGGCAGGGAATATAAAGAAGCAAGAGTTCAATTAGAGTTTGTTGAAATCAGAAACAAATGGGGACCAGCACTGAACATTCCCTAGGCAGACAAAACCCTCCAGTCATACAAACAAAGCTCGATTTAGCTTACTTTGTAAGACCATCTCAACCTGGATCATTTCTTGTTCATGCCCCTGGAAACTGTAAGCAAAATTTCCCAAGATTGATATGAGGCAACCCCTGACCAATTCCCTGAAATTTAAGAAAATTCCAGTATTATCAGTTTTCTGAAAATCAGGCCTTTATGGGAAATCAGTCTCTCAGTCTTTAAGGTTTGTGTTCCTCAGGGCACATGCATGAGATTTTCTATTTAATATCTTCCAGTTCCATCAGAGATTGAAATTCTTTCACAGAAACAAATAGAATGAAAATATATTTGATTGTCATATTTAAATATTAGGAAAATGTGATACAAATATTTTACCACTAGTATTTTTAACAGGGATGTAGTGTTTCTACAAGTATGATCCAAAGGCCAATGATCAGAATTACTTGGATGTTTATTAGAAATGAAAATTCCTTGATCTCACCCCAAACCTACTAACTTAGAATCTGTGGTGGTGGAATTGTATGCTAAAAAAAGTCGTGTGACCTTTGATATATAATGAAGCTTTAAAACTTACATTCTTTTTATGACTAGGTAAATATGTGTATGTTAGGAGTCAAACAATTCAAAAGGATTGATCATCTGAAATAAGCTTTTGAAATTAGGTTATTTCTTAGTTGAATGAATTGATAAATTGAGATATTCATTTAGCCCTTTCCCCCCAGTATTTTAAGTGATTTTTTTCCTCCTGACTTAAAAATACTTCATTCATTTTAGAAAAAATTTTAAAAGTAGAAAAAGATACAGAAGAGTCACCATAAACCAATCACCCAGAGATACCTACCAATTTTTTTTGTCTCCTTGTAGCATACCCTCTTCTCCCCCCATTTTTCCATTTCTTTTACAAACTTAGCCTCATATTCTGTACATCACAACATATTAAAATTATTTTCTCAAAGACAAGAAGTATTTTACAAATCTAAGGCTGGATATTTTAAGAACACTTCAATTAATGTCTCAAGTGAACTTTCTGTGTCCTAGTCTGTCTGCTTCATTTGTGTGTGTGTGTGTGTGTGTGGTGGTTTATATTTTTTTCCTCCCAGGTGGGTGGAGTAGTCTTCCTTCCCCCTACTAAAAGAGCTAAAAGTTATGACTAGCAATTCTAAGGCAGTTAGTGGATTCTGGCTTATTTGAAAATTATATTTTTAGTTTCTCTTTTCTGTCTCACTTAGAATTTTGGGACTGAAATGCACTCAGCCCTCAGAAGTAGACTGTGTTCAGCATTTATAATACTATCTGTGGTAAAGGTTACCTTTGAACTGTATACCCTGTCTTCCCCATGGTCATAACATTTCAATCTTAGAAAAATCTTTTCTCTTGTTTAAAATAAGTTTTATCAGTAATACTTGAAAATTCATTTGACATCAAATTAATCATAGTTCCTTTGGCTGCTTAGTAACTTGTCACATGAAATATTCTCAAAGTAAAGGCAACAATTACTACTTCGAAATAGATGGCTGATTCCATCTCCAGAACTCTTGTTATATATGGCAACTGTACATCTTGATTTGCTTGGGGCAGTACTGATTCACACCTGTTGTTTTGGTATAATAATTTTCATTATGAGAGTGCCTCCTTGCACTCTCATAAAGCAACCTGGTTTGGAAGGTAAATTACATGTTCCTCCACTGTATCTTACGCTCATGCTTGAACAATTGTAAACTTACTCATGGACATGCTTTCTTTCTTTTGTAATAGATCCTGAACATCAGAGAGCTAACGGTAACTTAAAATACTTTGAGTATATAATGGCTAAAGAAAAAGATGCCAATAAGTCTTCAGAAGACCAATCTGATCAGAAAACCACACTGAAGAAAAAAGGTGCTGCTGTGGATTACCTGCCAGAGAGACAGAAGTACGAAATGCTGTGCCGTGGGGAGGGTATCAAAATGGTAAAGTGGAAAAGCCAATTGTGTGTGTGTGAATGTGCATGTGTGTTTGTACATAGTTCTGGAGAGATTCAGAATTCTTTTAAACTATTGTGGTAAAAATCAGATTTATTCCTAAAGTATTACATTATGTCACATCACTTTATTGTTGGTGTTGCACTTAACGTGTTCCAACTTCTAGTAAAGTAGCTTTAACATAAAACTTGTGACTCATATACCGTTACATGCATTTTTGGTAATTATTACCCTTTTCATAGATTAGAAGAGGCTTTGTAAGGTGAGGGATCAGATTATTTAAGAGAAGTGATACAGTTTTTTCTTATATCTTAATGCAAAAGAGATTTCAGCAGTCTTATGTAGAAATAATATACCATTCTAACGTATCCTATGAAATGATGAATTTATCTATACAGTGATATCTTGTGGTTTTGCCCCTAGTCAGCCTTGATAAGACTGCCTAATGTAATGTTTTAGTCTCTTTAAGAAATATTAAAAATGCATAAAGACTTTAAATTTTGGCTTTATAACATTTTTAAAAATACTAAAATGTGTCTGTAAATATCCCTTTGTTTATTGTATATCTATATTATATATTTATACTCAGTTTACCAGAATACTAAAAAGGTAATAGGCCAAAAATAATACAGTTCAAGCCTTGGGATCATAGGTTTTTTTGTTCAGCTTTAGGACTTTTCAGATCCTTTTTATGATGATTATGAATGTGATCTACTTTGTTTCTCATAGAACCCTTTTTAAAGGAGTATCATGTGGTACTAGTGTTCAGTTGAATGCTGGTGTATGTAGAAGGATTTAGTGAAGTTTTGGAATAATTTTAAGTGAAATCATTTGAATAGTGTTTAATTTTTCTTTACTACTGATAAACTCAGGCTGGGTTTTATGTTTTGATATTGATGACTTCTTGATATTTGGTGATTTACTGTTTACAGCCTAACCTCTACCAGCAAATAAGTAGATCTTATCTATGTTGACACTTTTGATAAGTTCATGGATTCCCAGAGAACATGTTTACTTTTGCTTTGATCTGATGAGTAAATACAAATTAGACTCACGAAACATTTTTAAAAAAATTTCACATCTAAATATTTTAGTGTGTATCATTTAAAGATAAGAACATTTAAATGACCACAATACCATTATCATGATATTTCTAGTATCATTAGCAGTTAGTAATTCCATAATATCAGTAAGTACCTAGTCAGTGTTCAGATTTCCAGTAGTGAGTGGATATTTTTTACTGCCCTTAGAAACTCTTAAATAAGAGAGCAAAATAGAACTGTAGGTATATAACAGAAGTCTGTTAATTTGCCTGTTTGTTGATGTGAAACACATGTAAACTCAGCCCAAAATCAAAGGAGCATCCTTTTTCTCAGAATAGTTAAATTGGTCTTATCATCATATAAAAGATATAATTAAAACCTTGGATTTGATTCTTTGTAAATAAAGAACAAGAATAAACATAAATCATTATTAGTTCTACTTCATAATATGAAATACTTGTTTAATCAAGAGAAGAATCAGCAATGGCATAACATTGGATTGGCCAAAACATCATGTGGGGTGTTTTTGTTTTGGTAAGATCTTTTTGGCCAACCCGATATTTAGTTAATGTGATACATAGGTGACTGAAAAGTACATTTGTTGATTTTTGCTGACTAATATCTGCTACTGAAAGCACCTGGCTTCTTTAATAACTAATTTTCTCTTTTTCAGAGCTACTGATTTTCATCTTAAAAAAAAAAATCATTTAAATTTTTTAAAATTGGGAGGCACTTGGGAAAACCTGGTTAGGTTTTTTTCTTTAAGAAACTTTCCTAGGTTCTTCCCAGTTACTTGGTGAAGTTTGGAGCAGGGCTGGTCATTCATTTCGTATTTCTATAATCATTTTATTATTTTTTTCATATTTACAAGGGCTGAACTTTATTTTGATGAGAGAAGGGTTAAAGAGAAACCTATCTCTTCCAGAAAAGAATCATTAATAAAACTTTTAAAATTCTGAAGGTCCTGTCTGATGCAGAATATTTGCAGAGTACGATTTCTTTTGCCCTTCTTCCTCAAGTACTCTGTCTATACACCAGCATGATTATTGCTTCTTCATAGGAACAAGCATTAAAAAAAATTATTATTCTAATATATTTACAATTTTTTAAACTTTTTGTTCAGACTCCTCGGAGACAGAAAAAACTCTTCTGTCGCTACCATGATGGAAACCGGAATCCTAAATTTATTCTGGCTCCAGCCAAACAGGAGGATGAATGGGACAAGCCTCGTATTATCCGCTTCCATGATATTATTTCTGATGCAGAAATTGAAATTGTTAAAGATCTAGCAAAACCAAGGGTAAATAATTTTTTTCTTTTTTTCTCTCCTCAATTTACTTGTGTTTCAGCTTTTCCTTTGCAAGATTATAAAAATGATAATTGACATGACAATAACCCCATAGATAGTTTTAGATATTATTGTTGCAAACTAATGGAATTAACTAAGCTCTATTTATACCAGTTTTTCTGTTTTTGTTATCAACACATATTGCATACCTTGTATGTAACCTTGCAACTAGGTTTTAAGTACTCAATTATGAAAATCATAGGTGATATTTTTATTGACACTTAACAGATTTGTGTTTCAGCATCTTCCTGAAAAAGTTTCTATGTACTTTGGAGCCCTGTAATCTCAGAGACTAATCAAAGGCCAACTTTTTATATATAACTTCTATAGTTTTATCTGAAATAATACTTATCTGCCTAGGTACATTATTACTTAACTGGAGGATATCATTGGGCATGAACATCTTGCTAATCTGAAATAATGACATCATAGATTTCTGGCTTCAACCTACATCATTTATCTTAATAAGAAAGACTATTATAAACACAATCCTATAAGCTTTAGTGTTTAGCATAGAAATTCATCTTTGGTGAGCAAGAATGACCTTTATGCTCTTACCTTTTCCCCATCAGCTTGCTCTTAAAATTTGTTTGGTCTTATTGACAGCAAAATACAAACTATGATTATTTTCATAAAGAGGCTGTTAAATAAACACTAGAAATATTTTTGTTCACTTACTATACAGGAGCTGGAAAATTTTTCTGTAAAGGTCCAGAAAGTAAATCTTTTTAGGTTTTGCAGGCTATACAGTTTGTTATAACTACTCACCTCTGGTGTTGTAATGCAGAAGCAGTCATAGAAAATACATAAATGAGTATGGCTATATTCCAGTAAAACTTTTATTTCTAGAAGCAAGTGACTGGATGAATTTGGCCCATGGACCATAGTTTGCTGTTCCTTGTCTGGATATCTGTACTGCAGAATAAACTTGAAGTCAGAATGTTTGTTGCTGTTAAGTTTTACTGCTTTTCCAAATGGGTACTTTTTGTTTCTTTACTAAAGATTATGAGCTTCTCTGGTGGCTCAGATGGTAAAGAAGTTGCCTGCAATGCAGAAGACTCAGGTTCAACCCCTGGGCTGAGAAGATCTCCTGGAGAAGGGCATGGCAACCCACTCCAGTATTTTAAATGAAAATGGGTGTTGTCCAAGGGAGCTCTTATAAATCTTTTAAGCAGATAAAAGATAGTGATGTCATATTGTGTCTTTTTTTTTTATTTTAGTCTTTTATTTGTGTCAGTAAACCAAAATTATTGCAGTAGAATATTAATTAGGAATTCATTTCAGGTTGGAGACTGTCTTATATCTCTGAGTTTGGAGACCTCAGTCTTAAAAGGGATGCCTCAATTAGATTATTTGATCAAAAAACACAATGACAATGAAAATTTTATATTCTTGTTAACCTCCGAACCATCTTTCATTTTTAGAAAAAAGTTTAAAATCATTATCTTGGCTGTCATCTCTTTCTGTGTTCTTTTTTTAAATAACATTTATGAGTTCTTTTCATCAGTCTTTGTGCTCAGTCTAAGATTTTTTCACTGTTTATTTGAAATATATAAGCAAATATCTTGAAGGAAGAAAAGACTGACCTTGAAACTGATTTTTTTTCTTAATTTATTTTTTTATTGAAAGATAATTGCTTTACAGAATTTTGTTGTATTCTGTCAAACCTCAACATGAATCAGCCATAGGTATACATATATGCCCTCCCTTTTGAACCTCCCTCCCATCTCCCACACCATTCCACCCCTCTAGATTGATACACAGCTCCTGTTTGAGTTTCCTGAGCCATACAGCAAATTCCCATTAGCTATCTATTTTACATATGGTAATGTAAGTTTCCAGGTTACTCTTTCCATACATCTACATCCTCTCCTCTCCTCTCCCCATGTTCATAAGTCTATTCTCTATGTCTGTTTCTCCATTGCTGCCCTGTAAATAAATTCTTCAGAACCATTTTTCTAGATTCCATATATATGCATTAGAATATGATATTTATCTTCTCTTTCTGACTCACTTCATACTGGAAAATAGGTTCTAGGTTCATTCACCTCATCAGAACTGACTCAAATGTGTTCCTTTTATGGCTGAGTAATATTCCATTGTGTATATGTACCACAGCTTTATCCATTCATCTGTCGATAGACATCTAGATTGCTTCCATGTTCTGGCTATTGTAAATAGTGCTGCAATGAACAATGGGATACATGTGTCTTTTTCAACTTTGGTTTCCTCAGGGTATATGCCTAAGAGTGGGATTGCTGGGTCATATGGGTGGTTTTATTCCTAGTTTTTTAAGGAATCTCTATACCATCTTCCATAGTGGCTGTATCAATTTACATTCCCACCAACAGTGCAAGAACATTCCCTTTTCTCCACACCCTCTCCAGCATTTATTGTTTGTAGACTTTTTGATGATGGCCATTCTGACTGGTGTGAGGTGATATCTCATCATAGTTTTGATTTGCATTTCTCTAATAATGAGTGATGTTGAACATCTTTTCATGTGTTTGTTAGCCATCTGTATGTCATCTTTGGGGAAATGTCTTTTTAGGTCTTTTTCCCACTTTTTGATTGGGTTCTTTGTTTTTCTGACATTGAGTTGTATGAGCTGCTTGTATATTTTGGAAATTAATACTTCATCAGTTGTTTCATTTGCTATTATTTTCCCTTATACCGAGGGTTGTCTTTTCACCTTGCTTATAGTTTCCTTTGCTGTACAAAAGCTTTTAAGTTTAATCAGGTCCCACTTGTTTACTTTTGTTTTTATTTCCTTTCTGCTAGGAGGTGGGTCATAGAGGATCTTGCTTTGATTTATGTCATTGGGTGTTCTGCCTGTGTTTTCCTTTAAGAGTTTTATAGTTTCTGGTCTTACATAAAGGTCTTTAATCCATTTTGAGTTTACCTTTGTGTATGGTTTTAGGAAGTGTTCTAATTTCATTCTTTTACATGTAGCTGTCCTGTTTTCCCAACACCATTTATTGAAGAGGCTGTCTTTGCCCCATTGTATATTCTTGCCTCCTTTGTCAAAAATAAGGTACCCGTAGGTGCATGGGTTTATTTCTGGGCTTTCTATCTTGTTCCATTGGTCTGTATTTCTGTTTTTGTGCCAGTACCTTACTGTCTTGATGACTGTAGCTTTGTAGTATAATCTGAAGTCAGGAAGGTTGATTCCTCCAGCTCCATTCTTCTTTCTCAAGACCGCTTTGGCTATTCGGGGTCTTCTGTGTTTCCATATGAATTGTGAAAATTTTTTGTTCTAGTTTTGTGAAAACTGTCATTGGTAATTTGATAGGGATCACATTGAATCTGTAGATTGCATTTGGTAGTATAGTCATTTTCACAATATTGATTCTTCCTACCCAGGAACATATTTATGTTTTCTTTCATCAGTGTCTTACAGTTTTCTGTGTACAGTTCTTTTGTCTCCTTAGGTAAGCTTAATTTCTCTTTCTGATTTTTCATTGTTAGTATATAGAAATGCAAGTGATTTCTGTGTATTGATTTTGTGTCCTGCAACTTTGCTAAATTCACTGATTAGCTCTAGTTATTTTCTGATACTCTCTTTAGCGTTTTCTATGTACAGTATCATGTCATCTGCAGACAGTGAGAGCTTTACTTCTTCTGTTCTGATCTGGATGCCTTTTATTTCTTTTTCTTCTCTAATTGTTGTATTTAGGACTTCCAGAACTATGTTGAATAATAGTGGTGAAAGTGGGCACCCTTGTCTTGTTCCTTATCTTAGGGGGAGTGATTTCAGTTTTTCACCACTGAGAATAATGTTTGCTATAGACTTATCATATATGGCCTTTACTATGTTGAGGTGGGTTCCTTCTGTGCCCATTATTTGAAGAGTTTTAATCATAAATGGGCACTGAATTTTGTCAGAGGCTTTTTCTGCATCTATTGAGATTATCATATGGTTTTTATCTTTCAATTTGTTAATATGGTGTATCACATTGATTGATTTGCATATATTGAAGAATCCTTGCATTCCTGGAATAAACCCAACTTGATCATGGTGTATGAACTTTTGGATGTATTGCTGAATTCTGTTTGCTAAAATTTTGTTGAGGATTTTTGCATCTATGTTCATCAGTGATATTGGCCTGTCGTTTTCTTTTTTGTGTGTTGTCCTTGTCTGGTTTTGGTATCAGAGTGATGGTGGCCTAGTAGAATGAGTTTGGAGGTGTTCCTTCCTCTGCAATTTTTTGAAAGTTTTAGAAGGATAGGCATTAGCTCTTCTCTAAATGTTTGATAGAATTTTCCTGTGGAGCCATCTGGTCCTGGGCTTTTGTTTTTTGGGAGATTTTTGATCAGAGCTTCAATTTCAGTGCTTGTAATTGGATTGTTCATAATTTCTGTTTCTTCTTGGTTCAGTCTTGGAAGATTGAACTTTTCTAAGCATCTGTCCATTTCTTCCAGGTTATCCATTTTATTGCCATATAGTTGTTCATAATAGTCTCTTATAATCCTTTGTATTTCTACATTGTCTGTTGTAACCTCTCCTTTTTTGTTTCTAATTTTGTTGATTTGATTCTTCTCTCTTTTTTTCTTGATGAGTCTTGCTAAAGTTTTGTCAATTTTGTTTATCTTCTCAAAGAACCAGCTTTTAGTTTTATTAATCTTTACTGTTGTATCTTTCATTTATTTTTCATTTATTTTTGCTCAGATCTTTATGATTTCTCTTCTTCTACTAATTTTGGTGTTTTTTTATTCTTTTTCCAGCCATTTTAGGTGTACAGTTAGGTTGTTTATTCAGTCTTTTTCTTACTTCTTGAGGTAGGATTGTATTGCTATAAACTTCCCTCTTAGAACTGCTTTTGCTGCATCCCATAGGTTTTGAGTTGTCATGTTTTCATTGTCATTTGTTTCTAGAAATTTTTTGATTTCCCTTTAGATTTCTTTAGTAACCTGTTGGTTATTTAGAAGTATGTTGTTTAATCTCTATGTGTTTGTGTTTCTTACAGTTTCTTTTTTTTGTAATTGATATCTAGTCTGTTAACATTATGGTTGGAGAAAATGCCTGATACTCTTTCAGTTTTCTTAAATTTACTGAGGTTTGATTTGTGACCCAAGATGTGGTCTATCCTGGAGAATGTTCCATGTGCACTTGAGAAGAAGGTGTATTCTTCTGCATTTGGATGGAATGTCCCAAAAGTATTGATGAGATTCATCTCATCTAATATATCATTTAAGACTTGTCTTTCCTTATTAATTTTCTGTTTTGATGACCTGTCCATTGGTGTGAGTGGGGTGTTAAAGTCTCCTGCTATTATTGTGTTACTGTCAGTTTCTCCTTTTGTGTCTGTTATTGTTTGTCTTATGTATTGAGGTGCTCCTATGTTGGGTGCATAGATATTTACAATTGTTATGTCTTCCTCTTGATCGATCCCTTGATCATTATGTAGTGTCCTTCCTTATCTCTTATAATATTCTTTATTTTAAGGTCTATTTTGTCTGATATGAGGATTGCTACTTCAGCTTCCTTAGTAGTTTGGGGTTGATCTTGTAGATCTTTTTCCTTCTCTTGTTTTTTTTTTGACTATTAAGTCTGTTTAACATTTGTTGTGAAGCTGGTTTGGTGGTACTGAATTCTCTTAACTTTTGCTTGTCTGGAAAGCTTTTTATTTCTCTATCAGTTTTGAATGAGATCCTTGCTGGGTACAGTAATCTTGGTTGTAGATTTTTCCCTTTCAGTACTTAAACTATACCCTGCCATTCCCTTCTGGCCTGCAGAGTTCCTGAAGCGTATGGGGTTTCCCTCATATGTTACTTGTTGCTTCTCCCTTGCTGCTTTTAATATTCTTTCTTTGTGTTTAGTCTTTGTTAGCTTGATTAGTATGTGTCTTGGCATGTTTCTCCTTGGGTTTATCCTGTATGGGGACTCTTTATGCCTCTTGGACTTGATTGACTATTTCCTTTTCCATATTGAGGAAATTTTCAACTGTAATCTCTTCAAAAATTATCTCACACTCTTTCATTTTCTCTTCTTTTTCTGGGACCCCTATAATTCAAATGTTGGTGCTTTTGATATTGTCCCAGAGGTCTCTGAGACTATCCTCAGTTCTTTTTGTTCTTCTTACTTTATTCTGCTCTTCAGAAGTTACTTCCACTATTTTATCTTCCAGCTCACTGATTCATTCTTCTGCTTCAGATATTCTATGGATTCCTTCTAGAGTATTTTTAATTTCAGTAATTGTGCTGTTTGTCTCTGAATATTTATTCTTTAATTCTTCTAGGTCTTTGTTAATTGATTCTTGCATTTTCTCCATTTTGTTTTCAAGGTTTTTAATCATCTTTACTATCATTATTCTGAATTGTTTTTCAGGGAGTTTGCCTGTTTCCTCTTCATTTATTTGGACTTCTGTGTTTCTCATTTGTTCCTTCATTTGTGTAGTATTTCTCTGCCTTTTCTTTTTTTTTTTTAACTTTTTGTGTTTGAGGCCTCCTTTTCCCAGGCTTCAAGGTCGAATTCTTTCTTCCTTTTGGATTCTGCCCTCCTAAGGTTGGTCCAGTGGTTTGTGTAAGCTTTATACAGGGTGAGATTTATGCTGAGTTTTTGTTTGTTTGTTTTTCCTGTGATGGGCAAGGCTGAGTGAGGTGGTAATTCTGTCTGCTGATGATTGGGTTTGTATTTTTGTTTTGTTTGTTGTTTAGATGAGGCGTCCTGCACAGGGTGCTACTGGTGGTTGGGTGATGCCAGGTCTTGTATTCAGGTGGTTTCCATTGTGTGAGTTCTCACTATTTGATACTCCCTGAAGTTTATGGAGTTATTTTCTCTTTTTAGCCTCCTTTGTAAAAATCCCAGATTTCTGACTGATTGGATAAATGTGATTCCTTTTTTTTTTGTTTTGTAATGCAACTATTTTGATGGTTGGCTTCACAGCTGAGGCGAGCCACCATTTCAAACCCAATAACAGGAGACTTGGAGACGGTACATTACAGAATTAGCAAAAGGTAAGAGATGTGTATGCTGCATATTTTGCCCTCTAATGAGTGTTTTGTACATCCTACAGGAGTCATTCATTTAAGGGAAGTAGGTCATTTTCAGTCTCCAGTCAAGTCACCGCCTATTTTTAAGCATGGAAAAACTGCTTTGTGTTTCACGGGTCTTTCTCTTTAACTAGAAGTTCTGTTTTTAATATTTAATTGATCTATTATTTTAGGGAGTTAATATACTTTTCATCTCTCTTCAGGTTAGGAATCAAATGTCCAGGAATTGGCCTAATACTTGTTTTCTTATTCCTTTTTCTTTTTTCTTGCCAAAGATGGAAAAAAAAAAAAAAGGCAGCAGCCTGGATTAATCTGGGAGTAGTCTTTGTTTATGTAGTTCTCTCATATTCATAAATATGCTGCAGTGAATTCACATCATTCTTCATGATAATTGTGTTGGCATTTGTTCATGCATCTTATAAAATAACATTGTCATTATGGAGTAATCTGTATTTCTCCTGTTGGAGTTTTTATTTTAAAAAACTTGCTGACTTAAACGTTGGCAATGGAAAGAACAGAGTTATGCTTCAGATCTCAGTCTTCCAAATGCTATTATTTATGAGTTTAGTTGCCTTTTACTTTACCAGAGAGATTTAACGACAGTTATAGCTTGGTGAGAGTTTTAAAAAATGAATTTAAAGAGACTACTAATTATTCTTTTGCCAAATAATTTGGAGAACATTAAACTTCTAGATCTGAGAAAGTACCTGTGAAACCCAGTGCTATAAATCATTTACATACAGCTTCAAATGATTTAAAAAAAAAAAGTGAAAGGACAATCTGCAACAAAAATCTGTCAACCCATTTTTTTCTTGATTTGGAAGTGGCTTTTCTTATCGCCACTTTTCTAAATGTTTCTGCTGATTTGAAACCATTGCCTACCATCCAGACCAATCTGAACCCTTCCAATCACCTGTGGCTTGGCAAAACAAAACAAAAACCCCAAATTGCCTGCTACGTGAGTAAGCCCTTGTCCTTTCTCTTTTTTTGTAGCTGAGCCGAGCTACAGTACATGACCCTGAGACTGGAAAATTGACCACAGCCCAGTACAGAGTATCTAAGAGGTAAGGGAGTAATGGGAAGAATTTTAGTCATATTTGGACTATTTTCTTTCTTGAGAGTCTAGTTTTCACAAAACCCATCTTATGGTTTCTAAGACCTCGGCTATTAGGCATAGGTATTTGATAGCTGTGCATGACTTTTCATGATGGACATGGTTATGGGGAAGTTGATAGAGGTTTTTCAAAGTGACTTGCTAGGTTTTAAAATGCCTGCTGAGATAGCCCACACACCCTACCTGGTAAGTGAAGTTGTGTTCTCATATTAAAGTAACAGAAGTTCCCAAAGACTCTCCATAGAACAAGGCCTAATTTAATTTGTAGTAAAGCAGGGACTTAAAAATCTCAGGGTGACTCAGTAGCTATAGGTAGTGAGAATGACACCTAGAAAGGTTACCTAAAAAGTCCTCTGTAAGTCAGTTGGTTTCAAATTCTTTGTTTTTAACAATATTTAAGAGAATCTTAAGTTATTGGCTGATAGGTCACCGAAATAATTTTTAATAAAAGATCACTATGTAACTTGTAACTATATATAACTTAATAGAAGCTCACAAAATAAATGATGTTATTTCAACAGAACTCTTTTTCCATCTACTTATTTGTATAAATAAAGTTTCTCAGCTCTCATGAAAATAGAAGTGTCATTGAGCTGAATTCTGTCTCATTGTAGGAACAAGTAATGTTTATTCACATATAATACTTAATTGAAAATTAACTAAGCTTCATCTCCTTAGGAATATTTTAATATATTTTCATTTTTTATATTTGATGATGATTGTTTAATTATGCTCTTTAGAATGCTGTTGTTCGGTCGCTAAGTCATGTCCGACTCTCTGGAACCCCACGGACTGCAGCATGTTAGGCCTCCCTGCTCTTCACTATCTCCCAGAGTTTGCTCAAATTCATGTCCATTGAGTCAGTGATGCTATCTCACTGTCTCATCCTCTGCCGTCCCCTTTTCTTCTTGCCCTCAAATCTTTCCCAGCATCAGGGTCTTTTCCAGTGAGTTGGCCCTTCACATTAGGTGGCCAGAGTGTTGGAGCTTCAGCTTCCAATGAATATTCAGGGTTGATTTCCTTTAGGATTGATTGATTTGACTTCATTGCTGTCTAAGGGACTCTCAAGAATCTTCCCCCGCACCACAATTCAAAAGCATTGTAATAACCCATTCTAGGAGACATGTTTTTTTTTTAAACAGCTAAGCCTTTATGTTACAGGAAATTTATATTTTTATCAGTTTACATAAATATTTTGTTGTGGAGAAGTATAATGTGATGAATATATATAAAAACATATTTTTATGACTAAAAGTCTTATTCATGTATTCAGCATCCCCACACACATATTTTGGTATACTGTCTGTCCTATACCGCTATCTATCCCCTTACCCCAATCACATTCCTGTAATGTGATTTTGATGTTTGTTAATACTAATACAAGGTAAGGATTTGCAATAATTAATTTGGATAAACATGTTAAACCATGATTATAATGCTTCTGTGCATTGTATAATAATTAACCCTCATTTGAAGTTGAGTACACTAATTTTCCATTTACAGAACCTTTTCATGTCTAAAAAGCGAGCTCATCTATTTTTTAAAAAATATAAATCCATTATATATTTTATTAGAGATTATTACATGGTTTTAGGCTTTTTTTTTTTTTTAAGTGTCATAAAGCTAGTAAGTTCTCCAGATTTGGATGTTTTTAGGAAGCACTTAAAATTTTATGAACTTAGTGTTTTCAAAGTCATTTTTGGAAATTTTCTATATATACAATGGACTTTTTGACAAAATATTCAGCCCACAGAGTCACTGGACTCTTACCAAAAGTCAAATTACTCTTGGAAAGGTGATCCAAACCTTTTTTTCCCCTCTTTGGAGCTAAATATTTCTAAACATTCTGAGCTTATTTTTGAAAATATTGTAATTTCATAGCTCTGGATTTTTGAGAAAGGTATAGCCATACTTTATATTATATTTAACAACAGAAGATACTTAGCCAGTAACATTAGACACATTGAAAGAGTGAATAATACCACAGTAAATTCACGCAGACTTGGCAAAGTGTGTAGTGTGAGTGTGTGTTTGTGTTCAAAACAACCTAGTAAAAAAAGAATTCCATAGCACAGTGGTTTTCATTTTTACTCTAAAGGAAAAATTTTCATCAGCCCTTTAAAAAATAAAATCTTTAAAGTGAGAGAGAGGTCTTAATAGTTAAGGAAAGAATTTGCTCCTTGAAATGTCCAGTACATTTCATATTTTAACAAATAAAAAGCTTTTACTATTTTGAAAATTTAATATCTATTGAGAGATTTTCTACCCATCACTGTAAATCTGAAATTTGGAGATCTCACAAGTGAAATAAATGAGTGTTTTATGTTTCCTTCATATTTTATACCTCTGAAGAAGGCATCTCCAGTGCAAAACAGCAGAAAGAGTTTGTGTGTACTGATGTCAGTTAAAGAGGTCCCTTTTTCTCTGGGAACATCTGTATTTTGAAAGAGTCAGAAGGGAATTTCAAATATCTGTATTCTGAGACATTTCTAAATGATTGCATCATCATCTGTGGAAGTGAAAATATGTTCATGTTCTAGCAAATAGAATTTTCTTTGGGCAGAATACGTGTGGAAATCCACTACTGTTTAAAAAACAAAATATTTACTTTATTGACTACATGTGAACTTTTGGCAAATCATTTTTTGTCTTTCCAGTATATATATATATATAAAAAAAAACACCCTAAAGTTTTACTGTGTGTGTGTGTGTGCTCAGCTGTGTCTGACTCTTTGCACCCTCGTAGACTGTAGCCTTCAGGCTCCTCTCTCCATGAAATTTTCCAGGCAAGAATATTGGAATGGGTTGCCATTTCCTTCTCCAGGGGATCTTCCCAACTCTGGGATTGAACCTGTGTCTCCTGCATTGGCAGGCAAATTCTTTACCACCGCTCCACCTCAGCTTGTTACTGGAGAAGCTAATAGTTTGGCTAAATCAAAGTAATGGAATTTTAGTTTTTGAGAGGTAATCATTCAGTTATAGGTGGTGCAGTGATAAAAGAATCCATTTGTCAATGAAGGAGATACAAGAGATGCAGGTTTGATCCCTGGCTCAGGAAGATCCCCTGGAGAAGGAAATGGCAACCCACTCCATTATTCTTGCCTAGAAAATTTCATGGATAGAGGAGCCTGGCGAGCTACAGTCCATGTGGTCACAAAGAGTTGGACACAGTTGAGTGACTGAGCACACATACGCCCATACACATTCAGTTGTCTACTCAGAGAAGGCAGTTATATGAGTTCATAAGTCCAGTTAAAGTAATATATTGCAAATAAACAGTTTATTGAGTGTGGTAGAAAAAGCTTCTTTAATTTTGGTGGAATCAGTATCACTTCTTGGAAGTGATTTCATTTTTTACTTTGAAGTACGGATTTCCTATAATATGATATCTTATTATGCTTAAGATTTAATTTACCCCATGTTAAAAAGGAGCAAATGGAGTGTAAAAATGTATGAATATTTTTACAGTTTAGAGGTTAAGGCGGATAGCCTTGAGTGATACCAATTTTTTTTTTTAATTGGCATAGCTTGTAACAACAACATCCCCTTCTATTGGCTAGAACAGTCGTTCTCAGATTGAGATAACTGAAATGGATAGATCTAGATAGATCTATAGTGTTATTGTATAACTGTCCCACTGAGAACTAAAGGGACTGGATAAATTCCAAGTCTAGATGATTAGCCTTTCTTTGTTAATTGTGAAGCACATAGGGAAGAGTTATTGAAAGTTTTGCCCTCTGTAACTTTGGGCCCTGAATTATATTTTACCTTTGCTAAAAAATCACATAGTGGTATGCAGATTACATTAATCATGTTTTCTTTTGGCAGTTTTGTAACAATCTTAACCTTCCCTTGTGGCTCAGCGGGTAAAGAATCTGCCTGCAGTGCAGGAGACCTGAGTTTGATCCCTGGGTTGGGAAGATCACCTGGGGAAGAGAAAGGCTACCCACTCCAGTATTCTGGCCTGGAGAATTAATTCCATGAATTGTACAGTCCTTGGGGTTGCAAAGAGTTGGACATGACTGAGTGACTTTCACTTAAAAACCTCCAAAGTGGTGTTGTCTGTTTACTTGAGCATGTGTTTCTTAGTATTAGAAATACAGTCATGCAACGTCAGACTGTTTCTTCTTACTTAAATAAAGCATTCCAGTGATATTTTTAAAGTATATATTAAAAGGATAATGAACTTTTTTTTACAGCAGAAACTCTTTAGAAATGAAAAAATGTCAATGTTACTCTGCATGTACAACTTAACTCTCAGTTCCTGTCATTAAGACCAAAAGAAATAGATTTTGGGTTATCTAATTATTAATGGAAAAAGAAGACACATAAAGAGTTCTGTTTTTCTCCTAGCGCTGAACTATTTTTTGTGGAAAAAACACTGTATAACTTAGTTGACATTTTCAATTATAATTGTACAAAAGATAGAGAATGTTCTTCAAATGATTTTTTTCCAGGTTACAGTAAATGCTATAATTTTACATTCTAACTCAGTTAAAGCACTGAATTATAGAAGAATGTTGATATCTTATTTATTTAATTTAATGTAGGAGTAAGACTTCTAGATCCTAAAGAACAGACAGTTAACATATTACAGTATCATTGTCTTGTCATTTTTAGTAGTGTTAAAATAACTCAGCTAATTCAACTATCCACTAAGTCTACGATAATGTTCCTGAAGACAGATTAGCAGTATTGCTTTTAAGGATGGGATGAGTAAAATGTTTTAAATGTGTTCTCCAGCTTAGGAGAATCTTACTATATTTTGGAGAGGTTTCATATAAAAGTCAAATTAAGTGAAATAACCTCCTATGTAGAACTCATTTTCCTCTGCCGTGACTATAGCAGTTTCTTTTAAAGCTGTGGTTATCAGTGACTGTCTCTCATCTGAGGCTTAATTTCTAAACCTTCTATTAAGATAGTTTATGATAGAGTGAGAAGTGCAAATTAAAACTTTTTAAAAATTTAAACAATTAAAATGTTTTTGCCTCTAAGATTGGCAAAGATTAAAAAGATTGATACTGTCAAGGATTTTATGAAATGGGCACTCATAAACAGTTGACAGAAGTATAAGTCACAAATACTTTTGGAAGGCAATTTGATATCATTTATCAAAATGTAAAACTCATGTAGTATTTCCACATCTAGGAAATTATCCTACAGAGATAGTTGCAGAAGTATGCAAAATGTATACAGAAATTTGTTACAATATTGTTTGTAATAGAGAAAAATTAGAAACGGACTTTTTAAACCAGTGCTTTATTGACCTTTGTGGTCATCTTGGAATTAAAGATATTTTAATGTTAAAAATAAAAAACAGTAATTAAAAAAAAGTGATGAATTGAAATGTAAAGTGGTATAGTTGCTGTGGAAAACAGGCCGGCAGTTCCTCATAAAGTCGAACATGGGATTATGGTATGATCTAGAAATTCCACTTCTAGGTATATATCCCCCCAAATTGAAAAGAGGTCTCGAACTGATTACTTGTACATCCATGTTCATAACAGCCTTATTCATGATAGTCAACAGGTAGAGGCAACCCAAGTATCAATTAGTGGGTGAATGGATAAATAAAATGTGGTATAAACAAATCACAGACTATATTCAACCTTTAAAAGGACTGAAACTCTGATACATGCTGTAACATGGATGAACCTTGAGGATATTTACTAAGTGAATAAGCCAGGCACAAAAGAACAAATATGGTATGATTCCACTTATAGGAGGTATCTAGAATAGGCAAATTCATACAGACAAAAAGTGGACTAGAGGTTACCCAGGAATGGGAGGAGAAGGAGATGGCAAATTGTTGTTTCAGAGTATACAGAATTTCAGTGTGGGATGGAGAAAAAGTTTTGGAAATAGAGAGTGGTGATGCTTGTGCAACTTTGTGAATGTATTTAACACCCCTGAATTGCACTCTTAAAAATGGTTAAAATGGTTAATTTTATGTTGTATATTTTTTACCACAGTAATTTTAAAAAATGAGGTAGCATTATGTGTATTAACTAGGAAATATGTCAGAAGTATTTTTAGGGAGAAAAAAGTATATGTGTATTTTAAGGTGAAAGGTTGAAGGGTGGATTCTTTTTTTTTTTTTTTAATTCTCTCAGTAAGTTTGTTTACACACAGGGAAAAGCTATTGAGAGGATATATATCTATTTGTTAATAGTGTTTTGAGACTAGGAAAGGGACTTCATGTACTTTTATACTCTTTGAAATTTTTATAATAAGTATTTCTTTTAAAAATAGCTTTATTGAGGGACTTGCCTCGCAGTCCAGTGGTTAAGACTTTGATCTCCCAATGCAGGGGGTATGGGTTTAGCCCCTGGTTGGAAAATTAAGATCCTGCAAGCTGCTTGGTGTGGCCAAAAAAAAGCTTTATTGAACTATATACCATACAATTCACCCATTTGAAGTGTATAAGTCAGTGGTTATTAGTAGAGTTAGAGAATTGTGCCTCCATCACCGCAATTAATTTTAGAACATTTTCATTACCCCAAAGAGAAGTTTTACACTCCTCAGCCATAACTACCCAATCCTTAATCCCCTACCTGCCCCAACCCTGGGCAACCACTAATCTACTTTCTGTTTTTAATGGATTTGCCTCTCTTGAATATTTTGTGTACATGGAATCATATACGTGACCTTTTAGTGTCTGGCTTCTTTTGTTTAGCATGTTTTCAGGGTATGGTTGAGCAATATTCTTTTGTATAGATACACCACATTTTATCTATCTTTTGATAGATATTTGAGTTATTTCTACTTTTTGACTATTATGAATAATGCTGTTCTGAAATTCATGTCTCTTGAAATTACAGTTTATTTTGATGATGTCCTGTTTGTTTTTGTTGTTATTGTTTCTACTTTTGATGTCATAGCTAAAGCAATGACTAATCTAAGGTCACAGAGATATACATCATGTTTTTTTCCAAAAAGTTTTGTAATTTTAGCTCTTATATTTAGATCTTTAATCCCTTCTGAGTTAATTTTTTTATTATAATGTGATTGAGGTGGGGGTTCATCTTCTTTCTTTTGCACATGGTTATCCTGTGTCCCAGAACCATTTGTTGAATATAACAAGCATTTGTGATAGTCTTGTTAAATAAACAAGCATATTATAATGTTGAATATAACAAGCTTTTATAATTTTAAAACTATACAGTGAAAGATGAGACCGATAATTTCCTAAAATGGTAAAAATGAAGGTGTTCTTCTTGATAACAGGAGACTTCAAGCTAAAGAGTTAGTAAGCAAGGACTACCTGGAGAATGCATGAGTGAGGAGGAGAGTTTCAAGAGGGATGAACATTGTGAAATGTTACTAAAAGAGCAAATAACTGTGAGAAAAATCAGAAAATCTTGTTAGATTTAATAACAGTAGGATTATGGGTGATATTAGCAAGAGTGGTTTTGATGGAGTGATAGAGATTAAAGCTAGATTGGAATGGATTGAGAAGTGAGGAGTCTCTGAAAAGGTTGGCTTGAAGAGGGAGGAGAAAGAAGTTGGTAGCTGGAGAGAGAAAGAATTGAGGGAAAGAATTTGAAATTTTTGCTTATTTGTTTAATGGGAGAGTCTTAAGCCCTGTTAAAAGCTGTGGGAGGAATTATTGAGAATGGATGCTGATTACGTAAGAGAGAGAAGGGCTAATCAGTGATTCATGATTCCTGAAATGGCAGGAGATAATAGAATCTAAGGCAGAGGATTGGCCTCAGGTAATGGAGAGAAATCTCCTCTTGGAACTGGAATGAACTAGAATGAACTGTGTATCAGGAATAGATGTATGGTTTCTGTTTTGTCTTCTAAGTAGGAGATATGTTGTCCACTGAGTGAAGGGGGACTCACGGGTGGGCTGGCGTTCAGAATAAAGGAGAGGGTAAGGCCCACTTAAAGTCAGTGTTCATGAAGTTTTAGTGGAATGTATTTGCCTTATTTCGTTATTTTCTCCAGTAGAATTTGGTAATACAGGTATAAGCTTGGAGAAAAGAAATTCATTCGGGATTGTCTTTTTGCCAGAGAGTTGAATTTAGGCTTTTATCAAGAATGCTGTTGAGGGACTTCCCTGGTGGTCCAGTGGTTAGGACACCACGCTTCCATTGCAGGAGGCATGGGTTCAATCCCTGTTTGGGAAACTAAGATCTTGCAGCCATGGCACTACTAAAAAAAATTGCTGATGCTGTAGAAATGATGGACCATAGCTTGATGAGAGAAGTGAAGAAAGAAAAACTCTATTAGACTGGGAAAAAGCATACATAAAGGAGAGAGTTGAATTTTGCAGTACCATTTTATGGACCTATAGTTTCCATACCATAAAATTCATCCTTTAAAGTATACGGTTCAGTGGTTTTCAGTCTTCTTAGCTGTGCAGTCATCACCATTATCTAATTCCAGAACATTTTCGCCACCAAAAGGAAATCCTGTACCCATTAGCAACCATTCCTTAATTCCCCCTTCCCCTGGCAACCACTAATCTACTGTATCGATTTACCTGGACATTTCATGTAAATAGAATCATAATGTGTGACCTTTTGTATCTGATTTATCTTTAACATAATGGTTTCAAGGTTCATCCATGTTGTGGTATGTATCAGTACTTCCTTTTCATGACACAATAATCCATCTTATGGATATATTACATTTTATGTATCTGTCCATCAGTTGATGGACATTTGGATTATTTCCACTTTTTGGCCATTAACAATGCTACTGTGAACATTTGTGCACAAGTTTTGCTATGAACACACATTTTAATTTCTCTTGGATATATATACCTAGGCATGGAATTACTAGGTCACTCTATGTTTAACAATTTGAGGAACTGCCAAAGTGTTTTCCAGAGAGACTGCACTAGTTTACATTCCTACCAGCAATATATGAGGGTTCTGATTACTTCACATCATCACCAACACTTGTGATTGTCCATCTTTTTGATTATAGCCATCCTACTGTGTGTGTTGGCTATCTTTTAAAAGCTTTTTTATTTACACAATCAGTACATGAATTCTTTTCCTTATAAAATATTAGCATTATATAAATCAAGTTAAAATCCCTAACCTCCACCTTGGCCAGTTTCTATACCTTACCTAAAAGGAATAGTTGTTTTCAGTTTGATATATATGTTTGTTTGATATATATATTTTTTTTTCAAAATTAACAAGAAATTCTCAGTGTAGATAGTCCTTTATAGCCTTCTTACATTAACCTACCTGCTTTCATGAAAACTCTGTAATAAATTATATTAATTTTTTTCCTTTCCAACCTCCAGCTGTTGAATGTAACATCCTTTAACATCAGTAAAAATCCTATCAAAGAAACAAATCAACTAAATGCTTATAGATAAAGCCATAATATTATTTCTTTTAAAATGGCCTTTATGTATTGAAACTTAATCAGTAAAAACTAATATTTTCTTCATGTTTTTAGTGCCTGGCTGTCTGGCTATGAAAACCCTGTGGTGTCTCGAATTAATATGAGAATCCAAGATCTAACAGGACTAGATGTCTCCACAGCAGAGGAATTACAGGTAGGTAATCACATTATTCTTCTACTTCTTCAAAAGATGCTTCACATAGAGAACTCTCCTCAATGTTATGTGGCAGCCTGGATGGGAGGGGAGTTTGGGGGAGAATGGATACATCTATATGCATGGCTGAGTCCTTTTGCTATCCATCTCAAATTATCACAACACTATTAATTGGCTATACTCCAATACAAAATAAAAGGTTAAAATTTTTTTTTAAAGATGCTTTAGATGAGATTTTTCTGTCACTGTACAGACAATATTCAATTTGCAATATACTTTGTGACTGTAAAAGTGAATATATAGGCTGAAACCGTGTACACTGATCTTAATAATCAGTGGGAAAACTTAAAATTGTTCTGGGACCTTTAAAATTTTTTCTCAAAACATTAAAAACTCTTACTGTTGAGTATAAATTTCTAGGGAAATTAAAAATATGTAATACTAATATTTATTAGTACAGTTTTTCATAAATAATTTTTTCTTTCTGTTTTCTATTCATATACCGTAAAATTTACCCTGGTTTTAATATTTACATGGTTGTACAATCATCACCACTATTTTCATCACACCAAAAGAAACCCCATTTAATCACTCTCCATTCCCCTGCTCTAGTGCCCCTGGCAAATGCTTCTCTACTTTCTATGAATTTGCCTATTCTAGATATTTCATATAAATGGAGTAATACAATATGTGGCTTGCTATATTTGGGTTATTTCACTTAACAATGTTTTTAAGCTATATATGTGTTGTAGCATGAATCAGTACTTCATGCTTTTTCATGTCTGAATAATACTCTCTTGTTGGATATACCACATTTTATTTATCAGTTGAAGAACATTTGTTTCCACTCTTTGGATATTATGACTAATGCTATGAACATTACAAATTTTTGAACAGACAGCATTTAAATTCCTCTTGGGTATATATCTACTTAAGGAAATGTGCTGGGTCATGTGTTATCTTTAATATTTGAGGAGCTGACAAACTGTTTTCCCAAATGGCCACATGATTTTATGATCCCACTGGCAATGTACAAGGGTTCTATTTTTGTCACATCTTTGCCAACACCTGTTCTTGCCTGTTTTTTTAAATTAAGATTACTCTAATATGTTTGAAATGCAATTTCATTATGGTTTTTAATTGCATTTCCCTGGAAAACCACTAGATCATACAGGTATGACCTAAATCAAATCCCTTATGATTATACAGTGGAAGTGAGAAACAGATTTAAGGGATTAGATCTGATAGAGTGCCTGATGAACTATGGACAGAGGTTCGTGACATTGTACAGGAGACAGGGAGCAAGACCATCCCCAAGAAAAAGAAATGCAAAAAAGCAAAATGGCTGTCTGAGGAGGCCTTACAAGTAGCTGTGAAAAGAAGAGANTTACGAATAGCTGTGAAAAGAGGAGAAGCAAAAAGCTAAGGAGAAAAGGAAAGATATTCCCATTTGAATGCAGAGTTCCAAAGAATAGCAAGGAGAGATAAGAAAGCCTTCCTCAGTGATCAATGCAAAGAAATCGAGGAAAAAAATAGAATTTGAAAGCTTTAAGTCTGAGGTTCCCATAAGCCCCTCCCCCTTTGGATTCAATTAATTTGCTAGAGCAACTCACAGAACTCAGAGGAAACTTACTTACTGGACTAATGTTCACTACAAGAGGATATAACTCTGGAAGAGCGAGATGGGGGAGATGCACAGGGCAAGGCCTGGGGAAAAGGGACTGAGCTTCCGTGTCTTCTCCAGATGCCAGTCTCCCTGAGTCTCCATGTGTTCATCAACCCAAACCCAGTCCCTTATTGTTTTAATGAAGGCTTTATTATACATTATAGGCATGAGTGTGTGCATACATGCTCAACAGCATCTAACTATTTGAAGGGCTGTAGCCCACCAGGCTCCTCTGTCCACGGGATTCTCCAGGCAAGAATACTGGAGTGGGTTGCTATTTCCTCCTCCAGGGGATCTTCCCAACCCATGGATCAAAACTGCAATTCCTGCATTGACAGACAGATTCTTTACCTCTGAGCCACCTGGGAAAACCTATACTGTATAGGCAGGATTGAATAAATCATTGGCCATTGGCAATTGATTCAACGTCCAGCTCCTCTCTCCTCCCGTTAAGTCAGTGGGGTAGGGCTAGAAATTCAAACCCTCCAGTCGTGTAGTTGGTTCTCCTGGCAGTCAGCTCCCATCCATAGGATGGGTTCAAGTCATCCCATGAACACAAAAGAAGATACCTCTATCACTCTCATCTCTTAGGAAATTTCAAGAGTTCTAGAAGCTCTGTGCCAGAAATAGAACCATAAATATGTTCTAATTATGAGTCACAATATCACTATTCCATTGTATGTACACACCACATGTTATTTATCCGTCCATGTGTCAGTGGATACTTGGGTTACTTCCTTGTTTTGACTCTTGTGAATAATACTTCTGTGAGCATGAATATGCAGATATCTCTCTGAGACCCTGCATTCAATTCTTTTGAGCAAAATCACTGCTAATTTTGGTGATGGACTTGTGGAGATGTAACTAAAACAAGGGAGAGCCCTGGTCTCTTGGACACACATTCTGAAGTGTTTATGGGAGAAATTATAAGAGTTTAAATTTGCAATAGATGCAGTAGGAGTCAGAGGAAACAAAACTGGGCATTTATATAATTACCAAAGCTGGGTGGCGGGTAACTGGGAGTTTGCCACTCTATTTTCTACTCTTGTGTTAGCTTGATATCTTTCATTAAAAAAACATTTTAGGGAATTCCCTAGTGGTCCAGTGCTTAGGATTCTGTGCTTCCATGGTCAGGGAATTAAGAACCCAATGCCATAAGGTGCAGACAAAAAAGTTTTTCAATTTTAAAAATAAAATTAAAACTAAAGTTCAAAAACAGAAATGCTAATGGGTGCAAAGATGTATATTCATAGCAAAGCAGAATACAAACTAAATGTGCAATAGTAGAGGTTTGTTAAATAAGTTATGATACAGTTATAATAGAGAATATACAAAGCAGTCTTTTTTAAAAAAATTTATTCAAATATATGTTACTTACAGGGATAGACATTTTTAATGTATTATAAAATATTAAAAAGCAAGCCTATAAAAATTATGTGAAGCATGTTTCTACTTTTGTTTTAAAACAAGCATACAGAAGGCTGTAGATAATATCAGAGATGACCTTGTATTGATAATAGTGGGATTAAGGGTAATCTTGTCTTTGTCTACTGGCATTTTCAATTTCTCTGCAGAGCGTGAGTCATTTGGTGAGAAATATTTTTAAAAGAAGGCATCACATTGCATCCATGGCCACCTTGACCGTTTCTTCGTCTTCTCGTCCTGTGTTTGTGCGAATGTGTGTGCTGCCTCCATAAGCAACTAATGTCCGATTGTTGTTGTTCAGCCGCTACGTCATGTCCAGCTCTCTGCAACTACATGCACCAAGGCAGCAGGCTCCTCTGTCTTCCACTGTCTCCCAGAATTTACTCAAATTCATGTCCATTGAGTCTGTGAAGCTATCTAATCATCTCATTCTCAGTTACCTTCTGCTCCTTTTGCCTTCAATCTTTCCCAGCTTAAGGGTCTTTTCCAATGAGTCAGTTCTTTGCATCAGATGGCCAAAGTATTGGAGCTTTAGCTTCAGCATCAGTCCTTTCAATAACTATTCAGGGTTGATTTCCTTTAGGATTGACTGCTTTGATCTCCATGCAGTCCAAGCAAGGGACTCTCGAAAGTCTTCTCCAGCGTCAAAATTCAAAACCATCAAGTCTTCTGCACTCAAACTCATGTATACTAAACATCAGGAAAGCAGCAGACGGTGTTTGAGGTAACAGCTACATTCTTAACCAGATTATTCATTTATTCATAAATAATTTCATCAGGAACTATTAGCAACTCAAATTCATATGCCTGAGGCTGACAGGACAATCACCATGTTAGTTAAGACCCTTGGGGTCTTAACAACAAGGACTTGCCATATAGTATAGGGAACTATACTCGATATCGTATAATGAAACAGAATCTGAAAAAGAACATATATATATGCGTACATGCATGCTCAGTCACTCCAATCACGTCTGACTCTTTGCGATCCTGTGGTCTGTAGCCTGCCCGGCTCCTCTGACCATGGGATTCTCCAGGCAAGAATACTGGAGTGGGCTGCCATACCCTCCTCCAGGGGATCTTCCCAACCCAGGGATCAAACGCTCATCTCTTCCATCCCATGCATTGCGGTCAGATTCTTTACTACTGAGCCTCCAGGGAAGCCCATATATATTTTATATATTTATATTTATATATTTATATATATATTTATATATTTTATATTGAATATATATATTCAAACCAGTCAATCCTAAAAGAAATCAAGCCTGTGTATTCATTGGAAGGATGGATGCTGAAGCTGAAGCTCCAAGGCTTTGATTGAAAGAGCCACCTGATTGAAAGAGCTGACTCATTGCAAAAGACCCTGATGCTGGGAAAGATTGAGGGCAAGAGGTGAAGGGAACAACAGAGGATGAGATGGTTGGATGGCATCACCGACTCAGTGGACACGAGTTTGAGCAAACTCCAGGAGTTGGTGAAGAACAGGGAAGCCTGGCGTGCTGCAGTCCAAGGGGTCGCAGAGAGTCAGACATGACTTAGCTACTAAACAACAACAATGCTATATATGTGTGTGTGTGTATATATATATATATATATATATATATATGTATAAATATATATATATAACTGAATCACTTTACTATACACTTGAAACTAACACAACATGGTAAATCAACTAAACTTCAATTTTTTTAAATCCAAAAGAAAGACCCTTTGCTTAGTCAAATAACCTACTTCAAAAGAATCTAAGTCCATGATTTTATTTCCCTTACCATGCTCGTTCACTCACAAGTGCAAGGTAGAGTTTTCCAGAGGCCGTGTGAACGTGCCAAGACAACAGATGAATGTAGAAGCAGAGAGAGGCATCCACCTCTTCCAGGAAGCCTGCCATTCCAGAGACTTGCAAACAGAGCTACTGTTGCTGTTTTTTCTGAGAATTAATGAATATTTCTTAAATGTCTCAATTTTAAATTCTAAATTCAGTAAATCTCCATAAATATAATCCTCAGAAACAAAATATTTTGGGGTATCCTCCACAATTTTTTAAAGTGTTAAGGAATACTGAGACCAAAAGTTTTTGAGAACCCCTTTCTTAAAAATGAGCAAACAACCCAACAGCAATTCTTTGTATGTATGTGTGTGTATATGTATGTGTATGTGTGCATGTGTGTGTATCTGTGTATCTGTGTATATGTGTGTGCGTGTGTGTGTGTCTGTGTGTGCATGTGTGTGTGTATGTGTGTGTCTGTGTGTGGCTTTATTTTTCTAATTCTTTATCTTTTATTGATGTATAGTTGATCTACGCTGTTATATATTTCCGCTGTACAGCAAAGTAATTCCGTTATACAAATAGATGCATTTTTTATATATCCTTTCTTATGGTTTATCACAGAATATTGAATGTAGCTGCCTGTGCTATACGGTAAGATCTAGTTTTTACCCATTGTGTGTGTAATAGCACCCATCTGCTCACCCAAATCCTCAGTCCATCCCTCCCCATCCCCTCTCCACTTTGGCAACCACAAATCTCTTCTCTGTGCCTGTGAGTCTGTTTCTGTTCTGTAAATAAGTTCATTTGTGTCATATTTTAGATTCCACATATAAGCAATATCATGTGATGCTTGCCTTTCTCTGTCTGACTTATTCACTTAGTGTGAGAATCTCTAGGTCCAACCACGTTGGTGCAAGCGGCATTATTTCATCCTTTATATGACTGAGTAATATTCCATTGTGCACATATTTATATATATATGTTTGTGTATACCACACCTTCTTTATCCTCTCTTCTGTCGACAGACACTTAGGCACAACAGTGATCCTTAGGAAGAACGTAAAGCGATAAGGACCTGACGGCAGCAGGTTGAGGACCCGGGCCCCAGAGCTGAGCGGTGCTCGGAGCCCTGAACAGCCCTGTCTTGGGTTTCTCCCTTTCTGGGGCCAGGGGCCTCCTGACTTTATTTTCCTTTGGAAGTTGACCTCTCCTCCCTCTCTAAACCCTAGTTTCTCTATTCTTTCCCATACAAGACAGAAATGGTTTCCCAGGTGCCTCCATCCTGACTAAAATGACCCCATTGGTCTACTTTGAC